TGTTCCCTGTGACTCATGCTGTGATTCAGCACGGTGGCCGCTGACTTCACTGGTACTAATAAAAAGACTGAGAACACACTTTACCTGTATGTCAACCTGCATACCTGTTTCAATTTTGATCTGATTTAGGTTCCTGGCAGTCTGCGATCTTCATTCTTGTAAATTGCACAAAGAAATGGACCTACAAGAGAAAAAGTTTATAATAAAAAATAACTTAAAAATTAAAAATAGTTTCAAATTATATTTATTATACTTGTTTATATATATATATATAATCATACACTCACCAGCCACTTTATTAGGTACACTTTGCTAGTACCGTGTTTTGCCTTAATTATTCATGGCATAGATTTAACAAGGTGCTGTAAACATTCCTCAGAGATTTTGGTCCATATATTGACATGATCGAATCATGCAGTTGCTGCAGATTTGTCGACTGAACATTCATAAACATCACAAATGTGCTCTATTGGATTGAGATTTGGTGACTTTGGAGGCCATTTGAGTACAGTGAACTCATTGTCGTGTTCAAGAAACCAGTTTGAGATGATTAGAGCTTTGTGACATGTCGCTGAAAGTAGCCTTTAGAAGATTTGTACACTGTGGTCACACAGGGATAGACATGGTCAGAAACATTCTCAGGTAGACTGTGGTGTTTTAATGATGCTCAAATGGTACTAAGGGGCCCAAAGTGTGCCAAGAAAATATCCCAGAAACCATTACACCACCACCATTGATAAAAGGCAGGATGGATCCATGCTTTCATCTTGTTTACACCAAATTCTGACCCTACCATTTGAATGTTGCAGCAGAAATTGAGACTCATTAGACCAGACAACATTTTTCCAATCTTCTATTGTCCAATTTTGGTAAGTCAGTGTGAATTGTAGCGTCAGTTCCCTGTTTTTAGCTGACAGTAGTGGCACCTTCTTATGCTGCTTTAGCTCGTTTGCTTCAAAGATCGACGTGTTGTGCGTTCAGAGATGGTCTTCTGCATACCTCGGTCGTAACGAGTGGTTATTTTTGTTATCTGGCCATTCTCCTCTGACCTCTGGCATCAACAAGGCATTTTCGCCCACAGAACTGCCGCTCAGTGGATATTTTCTCTTTTTCGGACCATTCTCTGTAAACCCTAGTAGATCAGTAGTTTCTGAAATACTCAGACCAGACCGCCTGGGACCAACAACCATGCTACGTTTAAAGTTAGTTAAATCACCTTTCTTCCCCATTTTGATGCTCATTTTGAACTTCATATATAAACAGTGAAACATTTACAGTGACTGTCTGTACAAATGCTGTCTGATGCTCTACATAAAACTATGTAAAAAATATTGCAGCTGGACTTACCAAAGTGCTGACAAAATTACCAAAATAGCTCTTACTGCATATATAAAAAAGTGTTTATTTGAGCATAAATTCCTTGCTGGGATTATCCCTTATTTTGTCTGTCCAGGCTAGGACGTTCTTTTCTCATAACAGACTTCTTAAAGAAGGTGAAACACCAATGGTTTTCTCCCACATGTGTTATGACCATTTATCAAAATGCTCTTTTTTTTAACCCAAAGGGCAAAGCAGAACAAGACAGTTTCTCTATAAGATCATATAACCATAAACATGCTTGTCTGGACCTGTTCGTTCACACAGGTTTATAAACACTCGTAATCATCTGTGCATAAGACGGCATTGTGTAACCAACCACAACAGCTGGTAGTAATCCATGTCTAAGCACGTGTTGTTTCAACATACATGAACGCTAATCCGATTGGCGCTCTCTCTTGTTCCTTAAATGTATCAGATATTTCTGAGTGAGGTTATTGATCAGTCTTTTGAGTGTGTGAGTAGATTAAACATGTGCATAAAGGAACATTGGCCCAAGGGTCTCCTGTAGATTATGGCTTAATCCATCCATACAAATCCATTGAAGGGGGAGGGAGTGGTGAGATGGAGGAAAACAGGTGGGTGTCAAGGCAGTGTCTTTTGAGAAGAGAACACGTTTGTGTTGCTTTGTCAGCAGCCGGCTGGAGTTGAGCCAGCTGGAGTTGAACAGACATTTAAGTTACGATCAGTTTTAACACCCAAGAACCATTGTTTTTTTGGTTTTTTTTTTTTTTTTTTTGCGTCATTTGAATGTGGAAGTACACACAAAATTTGATAGTGAAATTTGTGGTGAACAATGAGAAATCTTTATTTGTTCCTTAATCAAAGCTGCTTCAAAAGACTATTATAACACCTGAATCCTGTGGACCACTGTTATGGATTTTTTGTATTTGTAGGGAAAAGGGCAGCTTGGACAATCTGCTGAATATCTCCTTTTGGGTTCTACAGTGACAAAAAAAATGGAATGACTTGACAATGAGTGGATAATGACAGAACTATTTCCTTAATGTGTACAGGATTAATGGAAATTAATAGCGATCTATTTTAAATCTGTGTCACCGATGCTTCAGAGGAGAAACACGTGCTTTCAGTTCTGCCGAAGGTGGAGAGGAAAATTATCTGTAATTTTCTTCCCATGCTAGTATGAATCCATCTCTTCTTGTGTCGTCTTTAAGATGAGGGGAAACCTGCATCAAAACTGCCTCAAAGGCATGAGGAATAGAGAAGCCCTGCAGCCTCCAGGCTTCAGTATTTAGAGTGTGAGTGTGTGTGTGTGTGTGTGTGTGTGTATGCCTGTACATGCATGAGCAATTGCTTTTGTGTCCATCCAAAAGAGGCTTAATATACAGGCAAAAACTAGTCCCACATGTCATTGGGCACAGCCAGACAGCTCAGCGTGGTTCTTCTCCACTGGAGGACTCGTGATCACAGCGATGGGCACAGATTCTTTAACAGATCTTCTGAAGCTACACATACATACACGCACTCGCCCCTTTCTCTTTTATCTCACAAGACAGCAGCATTCCTTCCTGAACGGATTGTGATTTCATGTGTTAAAGAAAAAGGCATGTGCAAAATGGAGCTTGTTCCCCATGAGTCATCAGTCCGATCTTCAGGATGGTGTTTGTTCCGAGTCTCTGTGGTCATTGGGAATAAGCAGCTAATAATGGTGCTACATTCTTCAGAATTGAATCAGTGAGTGAAAACATTGTGCAGTATCACACTCTTCCTTGGTGTTTCCTCTATTCTCTCAGCCTCTGCAGATACTTCACTGCCTAAAATAAACCCATGATGTTTAACCCCTTGGTGACCACAGCTGCTTACAGCTACAACTGATGAAGAAGCCAGCTGGTGTCCTAAAACAGTAAATACTATCCGCCTCTGTCACGCTCACCCTGTCTCAATCTGTTTCCCTTGTATCACTTTGAAGGACTAGGAGTGCCATTAAAAAATGGATTTAATTGTTTATTTATTGAAAAAAATAAATTATTATTATTAATGTATATTACAAATAATAAAATACGTACATAAATTACTTTTCAAATCCACAAAAAAATACATATTTTAAATTTAATAGCAACAAAAATGACTATCATAAATTCAACTTATATATATTTTTATTTATTTATAGTTAAATATTTGTAGATGTAGTAAAAAAAAAGTCATTGGAATGTTAAATAATTTAATTTTTTAATTTATTATTTTAGTGTTGCGTTTTACTGTTTTTAAACATAAGTAGATAGTTCACCCAAAATGAAATTTGTCATTATTTCCTCATTCTGTCATTTTTTTCGGTCAATTTTGATTGTCTTTAAATATCAATTTAAACATGTGTTTAAATGACATTTTTGTTTTTAATTGATCATTTTTCTTCTATAATTTAAAAAAAAAATTTTTTAAAGTGAATGCTGCTAATTTTCCTTATTATAGCACCACCCATTCATTAATAGATCTTCAGTTCTGCTTCTTTGTTTTTAAATTAATCCCCCCCCCCCCAGAGTGTTTTTAAATGATTGAATATTAAAAATGATTCTTGACCCTTTTGTTGTATACAAGAAGATATAATTGTCCACAATGTTGGATTTTTGGGGATAAATCTCTGCGTAATTACAGTCATTCGGTTCATGCAACTTGAGATTTCCGCATCAAAAAGCCACAATGAGTGAAAATCGTAAAGAGAGCAGCTTCCACACCTCTCCCGGGAGCCACACGGTCTTTTGCACCAGATGTTTTAAGGCGACCACTTGAAGTTGACAGCTCTGTTTCCCAGTAGAGCAGAGAATCATCATTTGAGACAAGCACTCAACTGGTTAAACTCTCACACAAGTCACAGGACACATCACGGTTCTAACAGAGCGTAAACATGTTTGCCTTCATGAGCCAGTCTGGGCAGCGTGAGTGTATGGTTTGAGTCACAGTGCAGCCTACACAACAGCTGACAGTTGACACGCATGATAGCATCATGAAATTACGAACAATGACAATGGCAAAGTCTGCTTGAGAACTGTGTTTTGGGTGCGTGTTGTGCTCAAGCCGAGGTGGCAGACTGTGTGTACGTTTTTGAGAGCGTCGGGTCTCCGTCATGGTCTTGGTGTGGTGGTGAGCATGCATTGTCTTGCTCAGCGAGGGTCTGACTGCTTCTCTCTGTGCCGTCAATATGAGAAGTGACAGTCTGACAACCATAGCTAATGAGGGGAGTGTGGTATCGAGTTGCCCTGATGCCCTGTGCATCAGTCAGAGTCGTGTGGGTCAGACCCACGGATTGTGTTTTTGCTATCCGATCTGCTGAGCTGAACCTATTGATGGTCAGAGAATAAAGGCTAAGTGAGAAACGTGGTTTGTGAGATTGATCTGTTGGTGTGAATGTGCTCTTTTTGTACGTTGAAAGGTCATTTTAGTGCCTCTTTCCAGTTGCATTTTCTTTTCACTTGAGGTTAATTTAATTTGGATGATGAGTCTGTCTTATGTCATCCTGATTAAATTTCATTCAACATTTTCCCATGTGCTATTTTTATTAAGTATTTTCTATAAATGAATTGTGAATGATATTGCTTGACTGCTTTTGTGAAATGCTTACAGTTAGTATCAAAGCTCTTGAATTTGCCTTAACAGATTTCATTTAGCATTGAGAGTAAACATGAAGTCACAATCCTGAGTGGACTCAACGAATTTGTAGTGAAGTTTTATGGACCACAAGGAAGTAAGTCTGTTTTTAAATTGTTTACATATATGTTCTTTATGAAAACATTTCCAGCTCAAATTTCACCCCAAAAATCAAATGAAAAAAGCCCATTTTAAGACCATAAGATTTTTTTTACATTTATGACATATTTTTCATGACAAATAATAGTGTGTGTGTTTAAAAATTCCTTTATGAAAAAGCTTTTTCATGATTTTCTTGTTTTTAACACAAAAATCAAAGGCTTCTAATTGATTCTGAATCATTACAGTAATTTGTTTCTTATTTCTTTTTGGAGCGAAATATGACCCAGACATGGCCTTGTTCGATTTCTTCACCTAGCTATCACGTGAAGCAATGATGCCACTTTTTTGCATATTTAAACATGCCTATCTTACACAACTTTTGGTTTGGGACTTACTCAGAAAACATCTCGGGACCCTTTTTAATTATCATATCATCTTCTGTTAAATGATCATCTTTCCTCCCTCTCTCCACTTGAGAGGTCGGAGCAGGTCTTATCCGTGACCTCTGCGGCTAGGCTTTACCTTTTGGAGTTTGAGCCTGTGGCCACAAGGGTCAGATTGCAGAAGGCTATTCTTGGAGTGAGCACACGTTGCACCATACCCCATATCACACGAGGCCAACAGCACAGCTTCCCTGTCCACATGTACACACCCACACGTGTGTCATTACACATACAATTCATAATTATCTAATTAAGAATTAGTTACACCCACACAGCGTCACTTTTGAATACAAAGAGCTCTACGCTTAGTCATTTAGAGTGTGCATAACTGCTTGTCTTTTCAAAGCCTGTGTTACAAGCTTGAGGAGATGTGAATTGTTTCTTGAATAGTCATGTGTCTCTTTGTGTTTTTCCTGCCAGCACCGTATGAAGGGGGTGTATGGAAGGTGCGAGTAGATCTTCCAGACAAATACCCCTTCAAATCTCCCTCTATAGGTACAGTATTACTATACATGTATCCCAAAAGAGCCATTATCAGCTGAGTGTTCTTCAAAAGCCATTTTTATGTGGTGTCATATTTAAATGTCTGTAAAGATGGTGTGGTAGGAGAAAGGTTAGGAACAGCCAGTGTTGTGCAGTCAAATGTTGTTATTTGTATCTAATACCATTTTAAGACCATTAGGATTTTTTATATTTATGACAATTTTCATGACAATTAAGCACACAAATAATTTTTATTTGAATAATATTTATTTAATTATTTATTTAATGAATATTTAATACAGTAATTTGAATCGAGGAAATAGTCATAAATAATATAAAGCAAAACACTTATTTATGCTATTTAATTAGTTTTAAAAAGTAGGAAACCTATGCAATCAAATGCTGTTATTTCTATCTATGATCTCATTTCATCTTTCTTCTTCCATCCCTCTGCAGGATTTATGAATAAGATTTTTCATCCGAACATCGATGAAGCGTAAGTCTCTTTATTCTGAGTCTGAATTGCCTTCTGGTTTGCTTTGAGCAAAAAGTTATTTTCTTAAAAGGATAGTTCACCCAAAAATGTACATCTGTTATCATTTACTCACCCTCATGTCATTCTAAAACTATGATTTTTTTTGTTACTGATGTGAAACACAAAAGATATTTTGAAGAATGTTCGCACTGCTTTTCTCCATATATTCAAAACGTCATCAGGAGATCGGGTGCAGAAAAGCTCCAAAAAAGGACCAAAAGTGTTATAAAAGACACACTCTTTCAAAGCAATACAATAGTTTTGTGAACAATGTATTTTCTTAAATCCTCCTTTTTAGCCCTCAGATATTTATTTTAACTCTAAAAGTCATGCAATGTTTGACATCAACAATAGCAAACTCTTTCTTTTCAGCAGTATTTTTTTTAATTAGCATTTATTTTAATATTTTCAGTTTTCATTTAAGTTTCAGTAATTCTGTTATGTGCTTTTGTCAATTTTATTCTTTTAAAAAATGTATTTTATATAGCTTTATTTTATTTTTATTTCTGTTTTAGTTGTAATAATTTTCTAAACTTATTTCATAGCCAAGGCATTCCATCTAATATACCGAAAACAATTTTCTTTTTAGTTTTAGTTAATAACAGCACTGGTTTTCAGCAATAAATGTTCTTTTTTTCATTCTGGGTGATTTGGTGTGAATAGACATTAAAATAAAAGAGCGATATGAAAAATGCTGTTCATATCATACTGATCTCAGAGTGAAGAGAGAACTTTTCCTACCTGCAAAATGTATTGGGTAACACTGTTCTGGAATGGAGAAGTGGAAGTAAACAATGTGATGGGGTGTCAATGTCATTTTCCTGTTATCACAGTAACGCTGCTTTGAAACAGTCTGTATTGTATAAAGCACTATTTAAATGAAGGTGACTTGACTAGATCACAGTATAATGATATTAATTGAGGTCATCACCCCTACTCTAATGCCAAGACTGTTATTCTTTGTCCAGGTCAGGGACCGTGTGTTTAGATGTGATCAACCAGACATGGACAGCTCTTTATGGTATGTATATGCGATCTCGATCATGTATATTGAGAATAAATGCTCAGGAAAAGCCATAGCTTGCATTGATGCTGCCTGAGGAGTAGAATAAAGTCTCGGCCCCTTAGACAGGACCGTGGTGCACAGTAATCCTCTTAACCTCTCTGAATAAGCTAATACCTGCAAGGTCAGAAAACAGCATCAGCTCACCTAACAACCACTCTTAAATGGCCCATTCCCACCAGCAATCATTCACAGCACCATTGTCTGTCTTTTTGCAGCTGTCACTCCATTTTTGTCTTTATAATAATAGAAAGTCACAAATTTAGAACAATTGTTATTTTCATTCAATACAAGTGTAGTTCAGTTGTTTGCATCCTAGTGTTGAAGATATTATTTTGTAATACTTGATTCTGATGTTCTGCATTCTGTGTTCAGATAGTGTTGACATATAGAGTGGTCATGTTTTATGATTCAATTCAACAGCACAACAAACATAATATTTAACACACTGCTTTATTCCAAAAATATGAACAAGTTTAATTAAAACAGTGGCATGTAGACTTCCAATATTTCTCAATTAACTGCTTCATTGATTCGCTACTTTGTACAGTAGATACTATAGAAAGTCTGTTATTCATATATTTTATTTATTTATTTATTAAATGAATTGCTCTTCTGTCTAGCCCCCAAAAACCCCTTCCCCCCCCATATATTGTCCACCTACATTTTTACACAATTTAAATTTACACAAACTAAAATCTATTATTTATTTTATGTATACTATAGAAAGTCTGATATAATTTTATTTATTAAGTCTGTTTGTAAAGGATCACTTTGCGGTTCTCTTTTTTTCTGCAAAATAATTCAAACTCAAATTTATAACCGCCCCTTGAACTAAGTAATTACTTTGAACTAAGTAATAACCGCCCCTTGATCACCAGAACTTTATTTTGTGATAATGACCCGCTGACTGTACATTATCCCGTATTTGGTTTATATATATACTCAGCTGCTTTATGTCATTGTCCACTTTGTGTTTGTATAATAGTGACAGCTAGAACGTACAGTACTGTCTATGAGAGAAAAGAGAAGGACAGAAAGAGAGAGAGAAAGAGAGAGAGAGATCTATGTCTACAGCCCCCACACTGAAAGGGAGATTAGGCCATAATCATGTCACTCACCACAAATCCTCCATTTTGTGCTGCATGTTGGGCTCATAACATAAGACTTTTGCTCTGCTCCTGTATTAAAGGCTCTACTTCCTGTCTTTCTCTTTCCTCACAGATCTCACCAATATCTTCGAGTCGTTCTTGCCACAGTTACTGGCCTACCCGAACCCCATTGACCCTCTGAACGGGGATGCGGCAGCCATGTACTTGCACCGGCCAGAGGACTACAAACAAAAAATCAAAGGTGATTTGGAGAGTTGCTCTCGTTTGACTTGGTGTTCTCTTGGTTTAACCTCCATCTGGCCTCTGGTTTTATATCTGTCACCATGTTTCACATCACCACTTTACAATGTCTTCTGCTCTGAAAAATGTGTGTGCGTAAGGTACATGTGATCATAATGAAACATGCCAAATTGCAGACATCATTTTTGACCTAGCTGTCATACAAAGACATTATGAACACATGCAAAACAAGAGAGAACCAACGAAATAATAACAACTGATTATGTTGTAGCCATTGTACGCTTTTGCATTTGAGCTTTTTGTTTCTCTATGCATTTTTTTTCAATAGTAAAATAAAACCTGTAGATGTTGTTTGCCAAATAATTTTGTCAGATAAATAAATTAACCAAGTTAAGTGTTTTGTTCTTCCCTCATATTTAAGATATTTAAAAAATACATAAAGTATTGTCCTCATATTTTGATGGTTTAATCGAATTTGTAGGTTCATTAAAACCAAATTTCTCCTCTGGACATCACTCTTGGCCAGTCGTATATCTTTTTCTTGCAAAAGTTAAGTCTTCTTGAATTTAAAAAGCCAAATTACTGTCTTTACCATTATGTATTTCTAAGCAAATTTGTGGATATATTGTAATTTTTAAATGCTTTTTCATTAGGCAAATTGAGTTTCCAAAAGCATGAATGTTGGTATCATGACCCTTTTCTTGTCTTTATTTTTATATAGTAAAATGTTTCGGTAAAAATTCACTACAGTTCAATTTTTTTAATGTCAGTTAGATTTTCTAAAAAGAAACCATTACTTTTATTCAGGAAGGACACAATAAATTGATCAAAAGTGACAGTAAAGACTTTTATTTATAGTGTTACAAAAGATGTCTATTTGAAATAAAGGCTGTTCTTTTGAACTTTATATTCATTAAGAAGCTTGAAAAAAAATGTATCATGGTTTTCACAAAAAACTTAAGCAGCATAACAGTTTTTAATATTGATAATAAGAAATGTTTCTTGAGCATCAAATCACTGAAGACTGAAGTAATAATGCTGAAAATTCAGCTTTGCCCTCAGGAATAAATGACATTTTAAAATATTTTAAAATAGAAAACAGTTCTTTCAAATTGTAATAATATTTCTCAATTTCACAGTTTTTACTGTATTTTTGATCAAATAAATGCTGCCTTTGTGAACATAAGAGGCTGAGGCTTTTTCAAAAACATTTGAAAAAAATCCTTTGAACAATAGTGTGAATATAGGTATATATTTGTTAATTTAGTGATACAACAGTGTGATAAAACTTCATTATTTTAATAAATTTATATATATTTTTTGTAGTGATATAATTATTTGCTTTCTGTCTTTTTCCCATCTATCTCTTTCTGTCTCGCTGTTTCTCTTCAGAATACATCCAGAAATATGCAACAGAGGAGGCTCTGAAGGAGCAGGAGGAAGGAGCGGGCGACTCCTCTTCAGAAAGCTCCATGTCTGACTTTTCAGAGGACGAAGCTCAGGACATGGAGTTGTAGTTAAGGGCGACAGTTTCTCCCCTTTACCACAGAGACTATATTATTTCCTAACCATGCGAAGCAGACTATAAAAGATTCATATTTAAACAAGGTGATTTTTTTTTTTTTTATCGTTATTATTACTAAACCAGGATTTTTATGGATATCTAGCGTTGACGATGAATACGGCACACTCTCTAGGTGTTCTATCTCTACTTCTTGGTGGTTGTTTTCCCCCCCCCCCCCTTTTTTTTTCTCCCTTTCACTCTCTCACTCGCTCTCTCCGACACCCCAACAAAAGAAAGGCTTGTAGTGTTGATTCCACGTTGGTAGCTGCGTAGCTGGAATGCATGTCATCGCCTCCCTAATCCACCTTTTCCGATGCAGACCGACGGGACAGAGGCCGTATTTAACCGGGGGTGCCCTTGTGATGTTACTAACGTACTGAGAGTTGTGTCCGTGATGCTCTGATATATGAATCCCCTCAGCTTAGACCTTTTGCAAGGACGGTCTTCAGGTGGAGCTGTGGCAGTTGGATCGGACACGTTTTGCCTCATTACTCCCCTCCACCTCAGCGCTTTGATCAATCCAGCGCAAGTCATTTTGAATTATCGTTGCTTCCCTGGTTGTCCTGTTTTTTTTCTTCTTCTTTCGTTTGTTTGTTTTCTCTTTAAACAGCTGTTTTAAGATAGAAACGCTCAAGAGAGGAATTTCTCCTTTCTCCTTTTTATTTGGCTCTCACCTTGAGGGGAAGTTTCCACGCTGTACGTTAAAGCAATCATCAGGATTTTACAGAACGTCACACACATTCTGCTCACCAATCAAGCCCACGATACAGCGTCTACGGCGGAAAATATCAATACGACTCCCTTTAAGTTCCTCGAGCGTCTTTTTAAAGAGGATGTAGATGTAGAGGCTAGCACACCGAAGCTCAACTTTTCCACTAGCTCGATGTTTCTGGCTTTTGTTTCCTCGTTGTGGAAGTCCCACACCCACAAAACGTGGCTCTACACTGTGTGACCTTCCACAGTGACCTTCACTAAACGACCAGGAAAGTGACTGTCCTGCTTTACGGAGCACAATCTTTTATTTTGTACCAACATTGTATGCACAGAGTGTTTTGTCTTTTTCCTCTTTCTGTCTCGCACCCTCTCCCTATTTACGAGCATCTTTTTTGTACATTTGTTGTATGATGCGGAAGTGGAGTCGTGTAGGACTTTGTTGGTCTAGCCTAGAAGAAACCTTCAAGAGAAAAGAGACAAAAAAAAGACTTTTACTAACATTTGTAGAGTTCATCATCTTTTCCTATTGCTTGTGCATAACTATGATAGCTGTTGTTTGACCTCATGTAGATCTAGTTAGTTTTACTGGGTGGTGAAATCAAAAATAGTTGTTCATATGGATTTAGGTTTCGTAACCTGCTTGTCCGAATACAGATATTATTCGAAGGATCCCATTTGGTAAGATCTGCCTCGGAACTACTTGTGGTTTTAGGAGAAGGCCGAGTAACATTTACTAATGCTGAGGTGGGGTTTGGCCGCTACGGTGTGGAAACGGGCAGATATCTTCTGTATAAAGAGCTTTTGAATTTCAACATCTGCAGATATCATCAGTGGCATGTTGGTAACATGAAGAACCAGATTTAGTTTGTGTGTGTGTGTGTGTGTGTGTTTTGCAGTATTCTCACAAATCTCGCATTCTGAATGCACTTGCAGATTCATTCATCGTCCAAAATGTAAACGAAACGGGGTTGAAGTGAAGCGTACAACGTTACAAAACAGACGCCGACCCCAGCGGAATGGCATTAGGGGAGGTGTTTCAGTTTAGTTCAGCTCGCGTGAACGATTCAGAGCTGCTTATTTTTATCCCATGCCTTTTTTACGTTCTCTCCTGTTTTTCATTTTGAATTAAATCAATGCTTTATGGGCAAAGCATTTGACCTTGTTTTAGCCCAAGTCAAGAATTGGCCAAATTGTGCAATAGGAAAAAAAAGAGGAAAAGTCTCAGTTGAACATTTTTGAGTCTAAATCAGTTATTGGGGGTTCATATTTTCAAGAAAAAGAAGAAAAACATCACTTATATGCAGTATTGTATTAAGAGGAAGTTATGATGGTCGCAAGGAGAGAGACAGCATATGTTTAGACAGGCCTTTGTTTCACATCTTTTAGACATGTATGGAAGAAAATGCTTCTCGTTGTGGTTTGGTTGCCTTGGTAAACATTTTGCCATGCCAAGCAACACGCACCCTGACAAACACAAAAGACTCAGCTTCTCTATTTCATTTCTGCTTCATTTTTGATCCAATATGAGAGGCAACATGTGGAGATTTAGTTTAAAAACATATATTTTTCCTTTGTTTTTAACAAATGTCATGTCAAAGAGTAAAATGACTAAAGAATTTGAGAATATCAAATAAACAAATGTATAAGCGTGCTTCCAATATAATTAGAAATTATACCATTTTTTTGTGAATTTATTTACTAATTTTTGGATTCCTATTTTTTCCCTCATGTCAATAACAGAGGCATCCATCTGAGCAGGTAATATGTGCTGAAAAGGTCTGTGGGATTGAAGGGAGTTTTTATTTATTTTTTATTTTTAAGTTGTTTAGTGGGTGGGGTGGAATAAATAATTACAGTGTGTCCTTTGTGTTTTGCACTCATAAGCCCCCAGTGCTTACACACACGCACAAACATTGCACACGTACACATTCAGGGGATAGCAGTTATTAATGGCGTGGTCTCCAGCTGTTTGTTTGCCTAAGAGAGAGAGAGCGAGAGAGAAAGGAAGAAGAGATGTGTCTTCCGGCTGCTGCCATGGCCTCAGAGGCTCCCCCTGCTGGCCCTCTCGGCCAATGGCATCGCGTCTCTTGCAATTGTGTTGATGACGAGCTTTCCAGTGCACTTTGCATGCGTCCGGTGTAGAGTCCAGTCTAATTGAGTCCTGGCTGTCCACTCCTTTAGTCCCTTATACCTGTGCTTCAAGAGGGTGCTCAGACATGGGGCTTATGTGGGCACACAGCATGGATTTATTTTTTAATTAGTATCTGTATCTAGTTCCTAGTGTGTGATACGCTGACTTAAAAAAGAAAATACACTGTTTTTTTTTTTTTTACACTTTTTTTTTTAAAATCCCAGGTATTATGGTAATTTGTCCCTTTTATTTCCTTAACCATTAATCTTACTCTATTTTTTGCCATTCTTTTTTTTTCTTTTGCATTGTGAAGTGGGCATGCCTGTCACAAAGGACAAATGCTCTTTATCTATAGGATTATAATCTCTTAAATAGCTGTGTACAGTAAACTGTAATAACTTCTTTTTTAATAAAATATTAAATATGTGTACAAACTGCTTTGTATCTTTCTTCAAAATGGGTCATTGTGTTTTTCATTTTCATTCGAGCATTTTAGTGCCCCCATCATGTATATTGGGTGAAATGTTAAACTCACGATTAAAAAAAACAAAAAAAACAAACAAACATCATATTAGTTTGACAATATCACAATTAAATGATCATGAAGTGAATTTTAAAGTATATAAGTAGATGTGTCCTTGTTAACTTATAACAAAAAATGGAAATTTATTACGAACTTAAAATAAAATGTATTTATTTATATTAAGAAATAATAAAACGAATAAGCATGTTTTGCTATCCATTTTATTTCAATTGCCACGTAGTTTGAATGCATTTTCTTCATAGACTGTAAAAAAAAAACATCTTAAATTTATGTTTCTATCCTGTTGGAGTTTCGTAATATCCCTTTAATGATCAAAGACCGTTCCTTACGTCTTCTCACAGGAAATTACATCATATTTGGCGCGAAAGCTACAGCGCAAACATCAGTAAGTAAATCCGTTGTATGAATTTTATGATGTTTTGCTGTATTTGTCGGTTTGTTTTAATCTAAAACGTTTCACCTAATGATAATATGATAATAGCATGATAATATATATATATATATATATATATATATATATATATATATATATAATAAATTAAAATATCACAACGAACTTACTAACGGTCAGTCCCTCGCCTTAAATGAGTTTGACCAGAGCATATTGACCATTCGTCTATGCTCTTTTATAGAAATAGGCTACTTAAATTACAACTCATTTTAAAGCTCAAATGATTCAGAATGATCCAAATGCTATTCCGATATATATAAAAATATTGAGATGTATTTATTTTGAATACATTCAATATTTTGAATGGGTAAATTGTAAAGCCTCTAGGGATGCTTCCCTTTGCCTTATCGTTTACATGTATGATGTTGTTACTCTGTACCACCACTAGATGACAGACAGGTTTCAAAAGTGGCCAGGAGGAGAATAATATGCATTAAAGTCCGTTATCTAATATTTATTTTAAAACTATTGCAAGAACACCAAAAAGGCTCTTCATTTCATCCAAAAAATAGACTATAAATCACAGCATAAAGCACTAAAGACATAGCAGATATAATTTAGGCCATCTCAATGTATAAAGTGGGCCAAATGCATTACATTACTATCTTACCATTTTATATAAAAATAACAGTAAAACAATTGAACAATTGAAAGTTTGGGGTAAATCACATTATGTAAATCATGTTTTTCTCCAAAACACGTTCGCCACAATTATTGGCACCCCTACAAATTCTTATGAGTAAAATATCTCTAAATAAGTATATTCACATTCATTTTTTAGCACACCAGGGTGACTAGGGACATGAAATTGTCCTTGTTTCACAGGAGTTTAAATATGAGGAAACACAAAGGCCAAATTCCCTTAATCATCCATCACAATGAGTAAAGCCAAAGAAAATAGTTCTGATGTGCAGAAAAAGATTGTTGAGCATCACAAAATAGAAAGTGGCTGTAAGAAAATAGCTAAAGAATTGAAAATCCCCATTTCCACCATCTGGGCAATAATTAAGAAGTTCCAATCAACTAAAGATGTTACGAATCCTCCTGGAAGAGGACGCGTGTCTATTGTCCTAATGCACGATAAGGAGGAGAGTTGAAGTGGCCAAAGTCCTACTCTCATCCAAAAACAAACTCCAATAAAAGTTGTTATATTCAGTTGTCAGACACGACTGGAACTTCAGAAGGGACCAGATTCTATGGTCAAATGAAATTGAAAAAGAGCTTTATCACAAACTGTGATAAAATGTACCCCATGCCCACTGTTAAATATACCACTGGATCTTTGAAATTGTGGGCCTATTTTGTTCAGATAAATGGATTCTATCAAATACCAAACAGATAAAAATGCTAGAAATATTATAATGGGTCGTGGTTGGATAAGGATCCCAAAAAACCCATCAAAATTAACTCAAAAATGTGTCACTGAGCACAAAATGAAGCTTCTGCCATGACCGTCCCCGTTCCCATACCTGATGAGTTGAGTGAACTGAAGAGAAGCATGGATCTGGGAATCTGAAGGATCTGGAGAGATTCTGTATGCAGGAATGGTCTCTGATCTCTTGTCAGGTGTTTTACTCATCAGGCATTATAGGAGAAAAATTTATGGCCAACGTGTATTGGAGAAAAAAACACTTATTTCATAAATAGATTTTCCCCACTTTTGCAATTCTTTTTACTATGAAAGGTTAGATTTTTGTGATTTATTTATTTATTTAAAGATCAAAAGGATTAACAATGCAGATTTATTTTCACAGGCTTCTTTGTTCATATTTACCAATGGTGCCAATCATTCTGACCACGGCTGTATATGTTTCCAGTTTTATGTGCAGAATTCAACATTGGCCAGCAGGTGCCCCATGACCATGAGTTACACAAAGGAGAATCCTAATCCAAATGTAGTGCCATTAGTGGCCTGCAGGGGACGATATCACTCATTTTACAAGGGAGGAAACAATTTAGTAACATAAGGCAAATTAATCTTTTCAACCAAAACATATCTGTCACGCAGCAGTCTGCCTCACTTGTTCTTTCATGCTTAAGGAGCATTAACAAACGAATACAAACTGTATGCCATTACTCTCCTTCAGATTTCCCCCGGCTTTCCCTTTCCTTTTTCTGCTTCTCTGTACTTTAAACACATCTGTTTTACCCCATTATAACTCCAGATCTCCCCCCCCCCCCCCCCCCATTAACATTTCCTCTGAGTCAGAGTCTATGCGTAAGTAGTCGAGGAGAAGAAGACATCGAGCTGGGACAGAAATGGGGCAGTGCGTATTCCTCTTCTTTCCAAAGACCTGACCTCCAGTGATGGAGAAACATGAGCTCCTCAATGAAATATTTAAAGCCTTTATCTGCAGTGCGATGGTCAAGAGGGCTACAGGCCTACATGATGTAATGCCCAGCCCCAGTCTGCCGCCGTGATTGGCCGGAATTATAGCTTTACCGTCATGTGACCAGCCCCTGTGGTTCAGCGAACTCACAGGAGAAGCTTGATACTCTTTCATATTCGTTAATGTCTCCATCATTTTCACTTAAAACAATTTCGGACTAAAGGGCTTAGAGGTAATGTGTTGGGATTTGTTTTCGCAACTATCTGATAAATGGCATGCGCAGAAAAATTAAATTATGGAAAGATATACAAAAAAATGGGGTTGAAAGTGCTTCAGAATGAATGACAAATATTGTTTATCTTTAACAGGACTGCAGCTTTGTAAGGATAAGAATGATGCGGCAGTTGATATCCATCCCTATAATCACAGTCTGCTCAGTTCTGACTAAACAGAACTCTTATCAGTAAATGAGTTTGCAGATATTCAGCAAACAAGGAACGTTCTCAGAATGTTTTGGCAAGGTTATCAACAAACGTTCTTCCAGAAACACTATTAGAACATTTGTTCAGAGTTATCTGGTCTTTAATAATCACAATTATTCAAATGTAACATGTTCATAACGTTTACAAAATAATGGAATGCTCCTTCAAAGTTCGCATAACCAAAACTTGACCAAAAACATTGAAATAACTTAATGGGAACGTTAGCAAAATGTTCTTTGAACATATTTTTATTAGCTGGGTATACACCCAGAATCATAGTGTGTCCTATCAAAGTATCATATGGCAAGATGGTTGATATGACTGCATCATTTGTATGATAATAAAAAAAGATATATTGTAAGAAACAACCAAGACCATAAGCTAAACTATTGTCTTAATTTCATTTCATGTCAGAGTGCGTCTCCTGTGAAACGGCATCCTGATGCTGACATGTGAGACAGTGGATCTTGCCCGGCTGAGCGTCTCTCATGTCGAGGACTCGGTTACTAAACCAGCCCAACTCTGTTATTAATGGATGTCCGTCTGATTAAAAACGCCTCAGACAAAGACACAAATGGCAGATGCTCTGACTCCCCGTCTCCATGGTGACTGATAATGCCAACTTTGTAAATGTTGCTGATGGTAAGGTGATGACATACAGGGTGATAAAAAGCCCCATGGACAAAATTACTATTCTTTTATTAGTATTAATATTGTTATTTAAATATCATTTTATTCAGGTATTTTGTGCTTAGTAAGTGTTTCATTTTATTAATCCTTTTACAATCAAATTGCATGAACTTATACCAAGTTTCCTAACACATTATTTATTTATTTATTTTCTTCCTTGATTATCTGAAATGCTTCTTTCCATTTAGAAACAAACAATATCGGATCAATATTAATTATATGACACCCCCATGCAGTCTATTAACAGCATCTCAATATATTCTCAAACCATCATCCCCACTAGAATGATTAAAATGAGCTTTTTGACAGTCTGCAATAACATCTTCTTCCTGTGTCTTTGCAGCTTGTGTTAAAGCTTTTAAGAGATGCTGTGAAATATTAAAAAATAAAATTGTAATACATACATTTATAAAAAAGGGACTAAATTATGAGCAACAAACATTTTAAAATCTTTTACTTCCAAGAAATTGTTACTGTTAAATCGGTTAGCTGCGTTTAATCGCATCTGACAAAAGTTTGTAAATGTATATATATTTGAGCCTATGTGTGAGTATATATATATATATATATATATATATACACTCACCGGCCACTTTATTAGGTACCCCATGCTAGTAACGGGTTGGACCCCCTTTTGCCTTCAGAACTGCCTCAATTCTTCGTGGCATAGATTCAACAAGGTGCTGGAAGCATTCCTCAGGGAGTTTGGTCCATATTGACATGATGGCATCACACAGTTGCCGCAGATTTGTCGGCTGCACATCCATGATGCGAATCTCCCGTTCCACCACATCCCAAAGATGCTCTATTGGGTTGAGATCTGGTGACTGTGGAGGCCATTTTAGTACAGTGAACTCATTGTCATGTTCAAGAAACCAATTTGAAATGATTAGAGCTTTGTGACATGGTGGAAGTAGCCATCAGAGGATGGGTACATG